ACCCAGCACATGTTGTTCATTTTAAGAACACTTTCACTGCAGATTTGACAAAACACAAAGAATGTACCAATGTGAGATTTCTAAAGATAGCTACAGCACTCGACCCAAGGTTTAAGAATCTGAAGTGCCTTCCAAAATCTGAGAGGGATGAGGTGCGGAACATGCTGTCAGAAGTTTTAAAAGAGCAACACTCCAATGCAGAAACTACAGAACCGAACCACCAAAAAAGAAAATCAACCTTCTGCTGGTGGCATCTGACTCAGATAATGAAAATGAACATGCGTCAGTCTGCACTGCTTTGGATTGTTATCGAGCCGAGCCCGTCATCAGCATGGACGCATGTCCCCTGGAATGGTGGTTGAAGCATGAAGGGACATATGAGGCTTGAGCGCATCTGGCACGTAAATATCTTGCAATGCCGACTACAACAGTGCCATGCGAACGCCTGTTCTCACTTTCAGGTGACATTGTAAACAAGAAGCGGGCAGCATTATCTCCTGCAAATGTAAACAAACCTGTTTGTCTGAGTGATTGGCTGAACAAGAAGTAGGACTGAGTGGACTTGTAGGCTCTAAAGTTTTACATTGTTCTATTTTTGAATGCATTTTTTTATGTACATAATTCTACATTTGTAAATTCAACTCTCATGATAAAGAGATTGCATTATTATACTTGTATTGGATGATTTGAAAAATACTATTTTTGTTTTTTTACAGTGCAAATACTTGTAATCAAATATAAATATAAAGTGAGCACTGTACACTTTGTATTCTGTGTTGTAACTGAAATCAATGTATTTGAAAATGTAGAAAACATCTAAAAATATTTAAATAAATGGTATTCTATTATTAACAGTGCGATGAATTTTTTTAATCACTTGACAGCCCTAGTTGAAATTATAAACCAGTAAAAATCTCACTCTTTATATACAGCGCTCTCCATATATACTGTGCACTCCTTTTATAACAATCACATCTGCTCCGGATTATTGGATTCTTATAAGCGGTCGCTTCTTGCAAGTGGAGTATAGGTATGATTTTGTCCCAGTGGTTTTGCTCACTGGTTTTGATACGCGATTGATTCTTATAACAGTGATTCTTATAACTGGAGTGCACTGTATATCTATCAAATCTGTAGAGGCCGCACCTATATATCCATATAGCTACATATGTGTTGCTCTGCATTGGTGTTCGAGAAGGCAGGGCCCAGAAATGACCCGGCTCCAGGAGCAGAAGGTGGGGAGTAGAAACAAGTGAACGTGTTCACATGAAACTTTTTTTGATCAGGAAACACAGGGTCGGTGCCACCAAAACATCGCGCGATTTCAGGTGGGTTTTGCCAAATTGTTTCAGTAGAAGATAAAACCGCCAAAGCCTCGAATTGGTTCAGTCCAAAACTATTTTTTTTGTTTCAAAAATTCCTTTCATGTGTTGTTTTTAAATCAAAACCATTGAAAATTGGTCAAACTTTACAGGAATTTTGTTTCCGATTTTTCGGCATTGCTGGCACACCAGAAAATCTGTTATTTGCCCAGCTGTGATGGGGCAGCCCCACCCTGACCATACGTCCCTGGCACGGTCATTCCCACCGGTGCAAAGAGGCTACTGAAGCCTGACCCAACTGCCCTGCTGAAATTGGAAAGGGGCCCACAAGCATCTCCGTTCTGCAAGGATTAAGCCCACACTGAGCCGTGATATTAGACTGAGGCCTGGATCCTGTATTAGGTCCAGCCACTGGGCGGTAACAGGGGTCCGATGGCAGGATCGGGGCCAAAGTATCTCCTCCAGGCTCAGGGTTAAAATGCTGAGCTGTGGCTTCTGAAGGCGAGTGAGGGATTGCAATGCTAAGAGAGCCCTGGGGTGGGTAATATTGGGCAGCGTGTACTCTCCGGGCCATGCGTTTTGCAAGGCTAAAGGTTTGGTTAATCAATCCACACATCTCAAGGGACTGTTCTGCACAGGCAGTTTGCCCTCGTGCCTAGCCCAGGCCGGAGAACCTCCCACAGAGGTCCCTGCACCCAGCCCAGATTTGGAGTGGGGGAGAGTGAAGCTAGAGCGTCATTAACTCCGCCCCTTTGCATGTGTGTCCTTAACTCTGCCCCCTTTGCAGATTTCCAGCCCAGATCTGGGGGTCGAGCTAGAGCAGGGCTTTTAGTGAGACACCCGATCGCCATGGAAGGACTCAAAGGTTTGGAGAATCTGCCCCCTCCCTGGGGTAGTTGTTGCAAGGGTCAAGTCCTCTCCTCGGGGAGAACCTGCCCCTTATTTCCAGTCTGGATTTGTTTGGCTTCATCCCCTAGCCAGCGGATCTCGCTTTGCCTTTGTGGGGTGGGTTAAACAGCCTCTGCTCTCTGACATCTCCTCCCCAGAGAGGTGCTGATAGACCCGGACCAAGGCACCCCCCTCCCTGGTGCTGTGGGTGACCCAGATTCAAGCCCTTGCTCTGTTTGATTCACATTGGGGCATCGGGACCAGCCCTTACTGCCATGGGAGAGCCCCCACCCCACCCCCTGCAGCACAGCGCCCCCTATGGCTGTCCTGAGGCATCGGGGCCAGCCCTGCCAGGGGAGAGCACAGCCACCTGTTTCCTGCAGCACAGCGCCCCCAGTGCTGCTCTGGGGCATCGGGGCCAGCCCTGACTGCTAGGGGACAGCGCTCTCACCCTGCCCCCTGCAGCACACTGCCCCCAGCGCCAAGCTGTGGCATTGGGAAGACCCCCCGAAAGGGAACACAACACTAGACACCATGTGGATTTGTAAAATACATTTTATTTCCTTGGGAATACAAAGTCTGCTGGGTTAAAGTCATTAAACAGTTGGCACCTCACGGAACAACGATACACAACGAAACCGACATAGTCTTGGAATTAATCGCGCTCTCCTGATATGTTCGCTAGCCTAGTTCTACCTGGGAGCAGGGCTGGCTAAGCCAGTGGCACAATTGTGTCCTGTAACACATGTACACACGTGCACACATGCTACTAAAAAGTTACTGCGCTAATCCTGGCTTCAATTATTTTTTACATTCTTCCCTATTTACATAGAAGCCAAGAACGGGAATTGTCCACACGACTTAGTGTCAATCGATGGAGGCGGCGTTCTGGGTTAGGCTGCGGCTCTTTTACAAAGCTCTGGGAACACAAAGCCAAATATCGGGAGATGGAAATGAAAGCTGGTTGAATTTAAATTTTGG